GAATTCTTTCGCATTATCAATGGAAAAATTGAGAAAACGAATTTTATAAAAACCGAGGTTTTTGAAAATGTTGCATATGTGGGTACTGAATTCGTTGAACACAATTTTAAATTATAATTTAGGTTCCCAATCTACGTGTGAAGCTGGAACGCATAAATGGAACTCCATTCTTTGTATCTGCACTTCTTCCGAAAGCAATGTGTCGTGACCTGAATCTGCCAAATGGAAACTACACTGTTACCATGAATTCGTAAGTTTACTCTCACCCCAGTATTTTTCTATTCATCAAACTTTCAGATTGTTGGCCCCTGAACAACTTCCATTAGGGGAGTTAGTTCATTTCGAGGCAACCAATGTGAGAAGCTTAGACGCTCCGAAACTCAATGATTTCCCGCTGATTGATCTAGCGATTCATAAAAATTTGGGAGATTTGATTGGAGAATTGCCAGCTGTCCCTGTTCTTCCGGCGCCATTCGGAGGAGCAAAATCGCGACCGGTCTCCAGAGCATCAACAGCTGCGTCGGGTGATGATGAACTAGTGAAAGGTGTTGGCTTTCAAAAGAAGAAATACCCAAACAAGAAACCCAAAAATAATCAAGGGGTCTTTGGAAAAGGGTTCCCGGTGAAAAAGGAAGAGAACCAAGAGAAAAAGCCGATTGTGGGAGCAGGATTCGAAGTTCCAAAGAAAGAAGGAAATGTTATTGTTGGAGAAGGATTTGTTGCGAATGTAAAATCTCAAGTTCTGAGAGGAGTTGTTCTGAGCATCACTGAGAATCCGAAAAATGGAGTGAACACTCATTTCTTGTGGATCTTGGATAGACAAGCGTAAGTTGGATGGTAATCCAGAAACTTTAAAAATTTCACCAATTTTCAGAGAAGGACGATTTGTCACTAAAGAATATAAGCTTGCACCAGGACACTTCTTTGAGGGGACTTTTACGCAAAGTGTAGGTTTTCTTCACTTTGAAAAAGTTTCGGAAAAGTATACTTTCAGCCCAATCAAAAATGGAACTGTGAAAAGTACGGAAAACAAGTCCCGAAGCCAGCTGCAATTGATGGTGGATTGGACTACGAGGGAAAGATCTGGTTCACGGTTCTCATAAATCAATTCGAACCAGCTGGAGGGAATCGAAGATTCGCTCAAGCCACGGCGAGATATTTTGGAAACGTTGTTGAAGGTGAACTCGACGGAACCAAACTGACATTAAGCTGTAATGGAAAGAAAGTCAAGATTCAACGACGAGGAGTTGGAGAGAAGGATTACGTCTGGATGGTTTTGGAAATTCTTCCTACTCAAGCTTAACTGTTCTTTTTGATTCTTTGATAAAACTGTCATGTTGTATGCTACATTTATTTATTTATTTCTATAGCTTTGAAAAAAGTTAAAGCAATGATGTTTGACGACTTGATCTTGAAGATCAGCCTATCGGCTCTTCCATTGACCAATTTACGGACCGAGGTTCCTCAGACTTCTGGAATGGTGCATTCCGGTAGTTCGGCGGT